GTTAGGGTTTAGAGTTAGTTTTATTAATAAAAGAGTATAAGTGGGTTTTATAAGCTTTAAAGATGAGCAAGAAAGATTCCCAGTTTCATTTTAATCCGATTTCATTATGATCTGTGACATCTATTAATATTATAGCTAATATATAATTTTTTAGCTTAACACAGATTATAATAGTATAGTCTTTTTATGCAAAAGAGTGAAATTCTCTTTTCTTTTTTTATAAAATTTATTTTTATTTTTTTATTTTTCTTTTTTTTTGTGAGTTTTTTTTTTTAGTTTTATAATTTATTTATTTTTTCTTTTTGTATTTTTCTTTTAATTATAAACTGCTTCCTTTTATAAAAGATTTATTTGAATAAATCTAGCTTATTCTAAGCTACTGCAATAGGTCACACTTGGATATTGTAATAAAAGCTAAGTAAAATTAATTATAGTATTAAAAAAATATATAACAATAATTAGCTATAACTATTGTAGTTATAGCTATTGTAATGCAAAATATATTTTAAAAAGTACTAGCAGAACTATCAAAATCAAAATAATAATAATAAAAATAAAAAAATAAATGTCTAAAAAGAATTAATATATATTCTACTTTTATTTTTGTAAATTTCTAAAATTAAAATAAATTTTTTTTATTATCAGTCAATTTAAATAAATCAAAGTTTGAAAAAAATTTGCTAGTCTTTGTTTTGATAATCTTTTTTAATTCTGAGAATACTTATCTAAAATTGATAAAAATTTATCTTAATTTTATATACTGTATAAATACATAAAATAAAAAATTTTATTAATTTTAAATAGGTAGTTGTTGAGATGACATCGCTTAAAAAACTTTGCCATGGTCATTTTAATAATCTTCTATCTTTAAATGAGGATGTCTCGATAACTACCTATCTAAAATCAATAAAAAATTTTTATTTAATTCTTGTTCAAAGTTCAAAAAAAAATTTAGGCAATTACCAAAACAAAGACCATGACAAAATTTTGAGCGATGTTATTTCGATCCAAAATCGATGAAAATTTATTTTAATTCTGCGGGTGATTATCGCAAATTTGGGAGATAATATCCCCACAAATTTTTTTTTTTCATTTGATAATATATATCTCGATAATTACTTATCTAAAATCGATAAAAATTCTTTATAGGTTCATAGAATTAAACTTAAAAAAAAAAGATTTTCAAAGTTGAAAAAAAATAGATTACACCGTTATTAGAGATCATCAAATTGTCTAATCAAAACGTAATGAGTAGAATCTCATTTTAGTACGTATTGGCGACAATTTTTTTTTTCGCCATGGGTACTACGTACTGAAACCGGATGTGCCAGATAATTGTATATAAAAATACAAAAATAACTAATCGTAATGTAGTTTAACCTTATCAAGTAAACTATGTATTACTTTTATACGGGTTTGGCATTTAAATTTATTCAAGTAATCACGCAATATGGCGTCCCACTAACTGGGGTTAAAAAAAAAATTATGTAATATCGATATCAGCGTACGTACATACGATAATGTAGATCTAATATCTGATCAGAGGTCACATGAACTGCATATGAAAGCAGATGGCATAAATAATGCCGGATTTATATTCCAAGAACAGAAAAGTGATTTACTTATCAGAAAAACAAGAAAACGAGAAAAGAAAAATAACAATGTCAAAAACTATGAAGCGTAAGCCCATTAGGTGATTTTTCAATTATGTATAATATCGACCGAATTCTCGGTAACCGAAAACCTTGATCATACTGAGTATGAGGATTTGAAATTCTCTGGTTAGCATTTCTTGATTTGCGTTTGTTTATTTATATGCCCAAATTAATGCAGAATATGGGTGGATGGTTGCTTCGATCTAATGCATTATGGTCATGCTAATGCTTTACGTCAGGTAATTTACTCTAAAATTGTTTCTCACTTATAGATATAAACTAACTGGATATTTTTATCACGAATTGTAAAGGCGAAAGCCATGGGTGATTATCTAGTTGTTGGTGTTCATTCTGATGCAGAAATTGAAAAGCATAAAGGTCCAACTGTCATGAGAGAGGATGAAAGGTATTATTCTAATAACTAGTAATTGATTTATTCATTGACTAATACCATTATATGTTTACTATTTTAGATATGCGGCCGTTGCCGCTTGCAAATGGGTTGACCATGTTGTTCCAAACGCACCATACTTTACAAGTCTCGAAGTAATGGAAAGTTATTCTTGTGATTTTTGTGTACATGGCGATGATATTACCACGCTTTGTGATGGAACTGATTGTTACCAAGCAGTCAAAGATGCAGGTCGTTACCGCGAATGTAAACGTACGCAGGGCATCTCTACCACAGAGCTTGTAGGACGTATGTTACTTATGACGCGTGATCATCACAAACGTAAATCTTTTATTGCGTCTCTCAATAATGAAGAATTGAGTACTTTTAGTAGTAGTCCATCTAAACAAAGTCCCGAGACGAAAATCTCTCATTTTTTGCCGACCTCGAGAAGGATAGTGCAATTTTCTGAAGGCAGGGAACCAAAACCCGGAGATAAAGTTGTTTATGTCGACGGTACCTTTGATCTATTCCATGTCGGACATATTGAGTTTTTGAAAAGAGCAAAAGCCCTAGGTGATTACCTTTTAGTTGGTGTTCATGATGATCAGGTGATTGTTAAAGGTTGTTTTTATCATTAGCTTTATTATTGTTACATTTAATTAACAACCTTCATGCTATCGTTTCTACACTATAACAGACCGTTAATGCCATCAAAGGATCAAATTATCCATTAATGAACCTTCATGAACGCGTATTAAGCGTTCTAGCGTGTCATGTGAGTCTTGTCCTACAATTTAGTTTTCTAATTTTAAAATTCTAAATTTTAAATTCAATTGCTTCTATTTTTATAGTACGTTGATGAAGTAATTATTGGAGCACCATACAGTGTCGACAATAATGTATTATCACAGGTTTACAAAGTGGACATTGTTGCTCATGGAAATACACCTTCCTTACCTGATATTAATAATAAAGATCCATATGAAGTGATTATTTGATTGATTTTTCTGATACTAATTATATTTGAGTCTAATAAAGATTATTTTTGTTAGCTTCCTAAACAAAAAGGAATTTATGTTGAAATAGAAAACCCCTCCGCGGAACTGACTACTGCTGGAATTATTGATAGGATAATTAAACATCGTATCAGGTTTGGATTTATTATATGAATTAATTTTAAACTTTCCATGTAATTTATTAAATTTTCATTATTAGATACGAAGAGCGTCAAGCTAGGAAAAGTGAAAAGTCCAAATTGGAAGAGAAGTTTGAAGAAGAGAAATTGAAGAAAATTTAATTTAATTCATTTTAATATATATTTTCTATTATCAATCTTTTAATAAAATTTAGTTACTGTATAAGTATAATATTTGCTATAAAGTATTATTTTGTTAAGATGGATGAATATTATATGTTCTTTTAAGAAGTGTTCGAGTTTAACATTTATATCTAAGTTACATGTAACATAAGAATATAATATATGTAAAAAAAAAACCTTAACAGGATTTCCAATACACATTCCTACAGTAAAACTGTAAATAGGTTTAATATTTTTTACTACCTACTAATTCTTCTACGTAAAGTGTCTATATATGTAAATGCTTTTTTTGTTAATTGATTTCATATTAAGTATGCATGCCAAGATATTATTTTTGCGGGCTTGAAGGTTTTAAAATTTTTGCTATGTTATATTTTTTTTTATTTAACAGTATATGATAAAATAATATAAGAAAATGAAAGCCAATGTGAGGTGTGGCGACTTAGTGTAGTGGTCTAGTCGTCACCCTCTCCAAGTGGCAGGTCTAGAGTTCAAATTTCATGGACGACGAATTTTGAAAAATAGCCTATGCTATGGTTTACGGTTGTCAATTATCAGTTGAATCTAGAAATCTGTAATCTCGGTCATACCATTTAGTTATGGGAGCTTTGGCGCAATAAATCTGAGAAACTGAAATAACTGAAAACCCATTTGGCAAGTCCCAAATTTGGAGGTAGTAGTGATCTTCGACGGTATCACAGGAGGGCTGAATTCGAAC